CGACCGATTATTTGGCATAATTTGGTATTACACTCTACATAAATCACGAGATTATCGGCCAATCAGATTTCGTGCAGCAACTAAGCCACCGATATTATTATTTAAATCATTAAATTAAAATTATTAAAATTGCAATTTTGATCATATTTCCTCTTTCTATAAAAACATGACTCATAAAATACTTATGTTTCTTCAAAAGTTGTCTTCGTCAGAGAAGCTTCAATTACCAAAGGAGCCGTTAGACGAAAGCTGGTGAGTAGGCATTGCACTAGTTTGTATTGAAGCTCGCCCAGTGTTGACTCGTGTGAATTGCAGTCTTCCTTGTCCGATTGCCTCAAATATATCCCTGCAACAATACAATTCTTTTGTTGAAAGCAAAGAGATAAGCGGATACAAGCTTGATTATAAAAAGGGCACCGTATATATGGTTGAAATGTGTTCGACTGAACATGAAGCAGTTGTTGAGATTATTGGAGACGCCTTCCGTGATCTATGTCCTCGTGCCGCTTATGGCAGCCGAAATAATGCTCCAATACAAATTCTTGGGCAGTCACGTAAGGGAATTTCTTCCAGCTTACTTATTCTCTTACCTCTTTTTGTGTTCTAATATTTATCATTTCCTTTCCAAAGTTCATGACGCGCCAGATGGAACTCGCAGAGCACCAGATCTTGCTGTTTATCTACATCCTACTTTCGTTCCGGACCCTCCCGTCCCGCACCCTGGTCCTCCGCCCGGCGACAGAAGGGTACTTTGTCATGTATTTCGTGATACCCCAAATACTAATACTTATATGGTTGATATAGGGAAATCCTTATGCGAGAGTAATGCTTGAAGTAGCTGTGACCCAAAGTTACTCTGACCTGAAGGACAAGTGTAGGCTTTGGAAACGACAGTCGTACGTACGATCCGTACTAGGTATAAAACTCTACAATGCATTGGCTACACGCGACGCAGCAGGACGCAGAGAGCGGGCTATGAAGGTATGTCTCATTGTCTAATAATTCTTAATTATTATATTACTTTATATTTAAATTGTTAAATATTAGGCCATACTTTGGCGACAAGGAGTCGCAAAACAGAAGGTAAGATTGAATGTTGAGAAAGAAAATTTCCTATTCTTTACTTTGTGATGCTCAAAGTCCGGTTCTTTATATGATAGTGGCATTTTGGGACTGTAGATAAAAACGGTAATCATTTTCCTCCTGACACAAATGTCTGTAATACTGCGAACGACCCAAACTACATCATTAATATCCCGGTTAGCGACATATTTTATGATCCACCAGTTCCTGCAACTGGATATACACCTTTAACTGGTCCTCCTCTAGCATTGTATAATGCTATTGTTGCAATTGATCTATACGAAGTTCAGCAGGCGGTTTTAATGAAACAGGAAAAGTAAAGTCAAAAGACCATATCCATTTTGAAATTTTCACTAATTAAATTATATTTTAATAGACAAATTGTATTTTGGCATTGTAATTATTTTATTAGTAATTTATAATAAATATCAAATTGATATAATTAATTTTAATATCATCAAATTAATTAGCTTTAAAGTATAATTTAGATGATTAGAAATATGATCAATTAGTTATAAATAGTATCAAATTAGTCTAAATTCAGCTCTGATTTTTAGCTGATTTGAATTATTTAAATCAATAAAAGAGACATAGATTTTCTTTTATTATAAATTGAATATATGATTAGAGAAGTAACAAAAGTTTAAAAAATTTAACTTTTTACAGTTTTTCATATTAGAAAAAAATGGTTTAAAAATCACTTTCTAAAGATTTAGCAAGATTAAGTTATTCACTTATTGTAAATAAATTAATATAAAACAAATTGTTAACTTTATTACTTCTCAAAAGTATTCATTATCTATTAAAATATCAAACTGGTATAAAAAAGTCTTGACTTTTAACAATTTGTATACTTTAAAATAATAGATTATTATTAAAAGTTAAAAGAAATCTTAGTAAAAAACATAAAAAATATTAATATAATTTTGAAAAAAATATAAAATTTAGATTGTTAAAGGCTAATTAAAAATAATAAGATTAGATAAATTAAAATTCAAAATTTTTAATTCTAATAAAAAGCAGTATTATTAAAGATATTTTAAAAAATCAATAAAAGCTTATCATATTAAACCTACAGTAAATTTAGAGACAGATTATTCATAATATAGGATGTTTTATATATGATATTAAAAACTATTATAAAATTAATAGCATAATGAATGTTAAATAATACTAATAAATTCTTTATGAAGATTTAATAAATATTATTATTATACTTTAATGTAAATTGATAAATTACTAATTAATTATATTTAATAGATGAATTATATTTTAATAGATATAATTATTTTATTAATAATTTATAATAAATATTAAATTAATGTAATTAATTTTGATATGATCAAAATTAATTAACGTCAAAATATAATTATTAGAATATATAATTTTACTATTAAAGATATTATATAAATCTAAAATACATAGCAAATTTAATAAAATAATAGTTTAAGAGAAATAAGGTAATAGTCCTAGATTATCTACTTCAATTTTCAAATTTAAACTTTATAAAATAAAATTAATCATTATTTTTGCTAGACAAATTTTTAAAAAAAAGGATTTTTAAAATAAAATATAACAGGTTTAGAAAAAAATTGATATTAATCTAATTCAATCTATATCAAAATACTAGTCAAAATAGTTCAAATTAGCTAAAAATCATATAGCTGATTTTAGACTGATTTTGATATTATTTACAGCTAATTTACCATATTTTCTAATCAGCACAAATAGGTGTTGATTGATGCCAATTGATTTTAATCAGACATGACTATTTAGAACTTAAATTTAATTATAAATCAGTTTAAAATTAACCTTAATTCAACAATAATTCAGATACTGATAGACGTCAATTGACTCCAATTGGATATAGCTATTCAGCATCAATTCAGAACTTAAATATCCATAAATTAGTCTAAAATTAGTCTCAATTTGATAACAATTCAGATGCTGATCAACACTGATTGACTCTAATTAGACAAGCAATTCAATCATAAATCAGTCTAAAATTAACCTCAATTCAGCAATAATTAGATAAAATTCAAGAAAAATTTTAACATCTATTGATGCTTATTGATTCTAATTAAACAAGTAATTTAACCATAAATCAGCTTAAAATTAGCCTCAATTCAGTATCAATTTAGCAATAATTCAAACATTGATTAACACCAATCAACTCCAATTGGATAATCAATTCAACATTAATAATCAGTACATTTTATTTATTAAATTAATTAAATATAAAAATTTTATTAATAATAAAAACCTAATATAAATTTGCTAAAATATAAAAATATAATAAAAAAAATATCACTAAAACCTACTGATTAATTTTCTATTAAAAATAGAAAAATAAAATAATAAAATATAACCCATTTTCTTTTTAAATCATCCTAAATATAGATAAATAAATAATATATGATAAAAATATGATCCATTCCTTTTGAAATTATAAAAAAAATGTAAAAATAATAAATATAAAATGTAAAAAATAGAAAAATCATCTGAAAAATATAAAAAATAATAAAATCAATCTATTCTCACTTTAAATCACCTAAAAAAATATAAAGATAATAATAAAATAATAATAAAATTGACCTGTTTCCTCTCAAAATTACTTAAAAAAATAATGTAAAAATAATAAAATCAACCTATTTCTACCCAAATCGCTCAAAAAAACATA